TGAATGACCTAATGGGTCATTGCGAGTCAGAATGGACTAGGGGTCACTGAATGACCTAATGGGTCATTGCGAGTCAGAATGGACTAGGGGGAAGTGAGTTTGGACTTAGTTTACTTTCTGCAAGGGATTCTTCTGTCGGCAGGGCCTTCCGTCCCCATTTACCATGTTTTCTCCCTCTCCATCTCTGGTTTAATTGGGATCTAAAAGTCCCAGATCTCATTTTTCAACGTCCATTCTCTCTCAAGCACAGTCGAGGATGCACTGTGATCCGTCCAAGCCCCCGTGGACACCCCTCACCCTCGGGCTATTGTGGGCTAATCACTGTCCACCGGGGGATGCAGTCCCCTCTCTCTGGTTATGACTCCCTGCCGTTTGCTGTCCCTACAATGAGGGTTCTCATCAGAAAACCTGTACCCAGCAAACGCCCTTTAGGGCTAGGGCTTGTCCTCCAGTTTTCCTGAGGTCTTCTGACCTGCTCTGTGGGAGCTGCCTGTAGCTGAGCTGGTATTCAGGGGGTGCGTGGGCAGACTTTGCCCTGGTTCAGGAGGAAGCGAAGGTGGCCCTCCCAAGACCTTAGGAAGATGTCTTTTGACTTCAGAGCCCCAGTGACTCTGTTGAGAGGTAACTTAGGTGAGTCAAGTTCCCGCTTGACTCCACTGCAGAAAGCCTTCAGTAGGATTTTCTATCAATTCAGCAGCTAGAATGTACCGTTTGGGGGAGGGGTAGCCACACTCCAGATGGACAGTCAGGCAGGTCAGCGTGGCTGCTATCAGAGCCCACCCCATTATGAAGACAGTGAATGTAGCCTCCATACAGAGTCCTACCGCCTAGCACACAGTAGTAGCCTCAGGGCCGACTGCACAGAGGAGCAGGCAGACCCCAAATGATCACTAGGAGGTCTCTCCTATTGGTTTCAGAGGCCTGGGCTTTTGGGGTACACAGGAAGGTGGAGCACATGCTGACTCTGGGAGCCAACTCCACCGTGAGGGCTGTGTGTACTGGGTTTCAGCAGCTGGGCACTCACAATTCCCAGCTTGGGGGCGGTCAGATCCCCTGGGAAGTCAGCCCAGTCCCTGTCAGAGTCCTGATGGCTGATTGTCAGCTGTGGACGCAACTTCCACGTGGGGCTTCCTAACACACCCAGCAGCCTTCCGTGGTGAGAGGTGTGGGCAGATGAACCTGCACTGAGCCCTGAAGAAGACTGTCCCGT